AGGACACATGGGTTCCTTTGCTTGTGCCATACCGTTCCTTGGTTGAGTCTTTCCAGTCCATGCCTTGGTACCAATGGCAATGGCAAAGAAAGTTGAAAAGGACTTTGTTAGCACGTGAAAGACTGTCCAGTGGTCACGTAGGGCAATGTGGACCTCCCTTGCTCAGCAAGGGACCTCACGTGACCCATCGTTCGATGATGGCATCCAAGAAAAAAATGTTTACTTCCCAAACAAATTTTTTGGCTAAATTACATTTATGTCTCTTGTATTTTGAATTTAGTGTCATTCTGTCACAGAACTTTTAATTATGAGTATTTGATTATTATTTTTAAATATATTAGAGATTTAAATATAAATTTTTTTTCAAATGTTAGATTTAATGAATGAGACAAAAATTATTCACCTCATCAAACTTTTTTTTTTTATCTAATATATCATCTACTCCCTTAAAATTAACACTATTAAATTAAACGTTATATTTACTTTTTAAACTCTCAACTCTTAATTATTAGATTTTTTAAAATATTAATATAATTATGACAATTTTAAAAATTAAAGTTAATATATTATAATTGATATAAATTATTAAAAGTATTTTATTTTAGATACTAAAATAAATAGAGTTAAATTTTATAAAATTAATTTGGACTATTTATACAACCTAACTAAATAAAAAGTTGCCAAATCAAAATAGTTGATTTGAGTTTAGTAAAAATTATCCAAAAATCACAATTTCAAGTCTAACTATCAAACTAAACTAGACAATTTCGTATTTTCTATTTGACACATAATAATATAAAAAAATTAAGAAAAAAATATTTTTATAAAATAGTCAAAATTAATTTAATAAAATTAAGGGTAACTTTTTATAGTTAAGTTGCACAAATAAGATAAATTAATTTTTTTTAAAACCTAGTCATATTTTAATTTAATATCTAAATTTAATTAAATACATTTAATAATATTTATTGTAAATTATAACATATTAACTTTAATTTCTTAAATTTTAGCACTTTTATTTAAAAAAATTTAGTATTTAAGAGTTGATAGTTTAAGGAATAAATATAAAAATTAATTTAACAGTATTAGTGTTAAGGGAGATAAATGTTACATTATATAGTTCAATAAACTAAATAAGATAAATATGAAAGTTGAAAGGAACAAATTAATTTTTGTCCAAATAAGTAATTACTAATTTTGTAAAAAAATTGGAGGATTATGGACATGTTGATTCAAATCTTTTTATATTTTTCATTTTAAACCATGAGATGACTGAAATAAGCCAAACCCCGCATCCCTCTTTAGATATATGGTGTGAATTTGTTTAATATATGGGAAAAGAAAGAGGAGATGAGAGGGTTACAGTCCATTCCTCCGCTAATTTGAATGACAGGAGGAGGGAAATTTTGGTAAGAGAACTGATTTTCTTTTAATGACATTGGAAATTAATATAATTAAAAAGGATTATGAACATGATTAAAAGTTAATTAAAGAAAAAGGCGTCCACTTTCCTTTTAACTTTTTCCACCCAACCATAACTTGATATATTGTTTCTGTTAGATACTCGAAGCACGCAATACTTGACCTCCTTGTTTTTTAAAAGGAAGAGAATAAAAAGGACTCGGGTGGATCTCACCTGGCCCTATAAAAATTGGTCCGGGTTGGGATATACGCGATTTGATCTCATCGGACCCGAAACTAACAGATTATAATAGTGCTATTTTTTTTACACCAAGTTTAATACACTTAAACATTGTGCTATCTTAATAATTAAAAAAGATATCTTAAACATTACTCGACATAATACTACTCATACAAATCTTATATTAGATAAGATGAAAGAATAATACTATATTATATGAGAAAATGTTGCACATTCTAAAAAATATATCTTTTAAGAAATAGATAATGACCCGTGACAAGTAGTATTAAAGTTAACTCTGATATATTATTTTAATAGTATTGTGACCCACATATAAGTGCCTCTTGTACTTCCACAAAGATAGGTAAGACGGTAAGAAGTCATAAACACCATTATAACGAGAACGACAAGAGTTAAAATAAGAAAGAATTTTTTAGGAGAGGATAATAATCCGTTGCACCTATTGCTTTAATTTATAGTTTTGATTCTTTTATATTGTTTGTATTAAATTCTGAAATTCATGTCTCCCTGAAAAGATCTTGGCCATCATCAAAATCATGAACGGTTCAACTTTAATGTTAAGTGAACCCAATCCCGGATGCCTATGATGCAGATACTTCTATTAAGCTTCAAAAAGGGAACAAACTTAAAGAAGGACTTGTGTGATTTCCAAATTACAATAGTCCAAAAGTTGATAATCTATAAGAAAATGAATGTTTGGGTCCAAAACCCAAAAGCTTGCCAACAATGTGTTTGTGATTTTCCATAAACATACCTCGGGTGAACCGGCAAGTTCAGCCGGCCGCCTTGTTATCCCACGTGACCGGCCGGCCTGCATGCCTTGGCTCGCTCTTCCTGAAATTGGCTGACCGGCGGGCCACAAAATTTGCACACCTTCTCCATGGGAAAAGGGTAAATCACAATAAATGCCCTGAAAATATCACACTTTCTATTTTCCCCTTAAAGTCAAAAAATGAGCAGTTAACCTTTTCTAAAATACTTTGGAGGAGTTAGGTGCACATATTTTTCAATTCAGGGTAAAGTCAAAAACCATAATAGCTTAGGGAGATTTGTTGAATTTTACCCATTAAAAAGCCAAAAACAAGACACAACAAGCCATATGAAAACTAAGTTGCCATACGAAACAAAGCTCAACAAAGTTTACGGTTTTTCTTACAAGTGTCATTAATGTGTTAACTAATATTAATTAATTCTAAAAATGAAACAATAATGAATTAATCTACTCCCCGCTTCTATTATTAATTAATTTAAAAATATTATTACATCATAATACAATATTAAAATAAAATGACGAAACAAATTATTTCGAATCAAAATTTTAGATTTTCTAAAATTCGAATTATTTTAAATATTCAGGCTAAAATTACATTTATGCCCTTAAAATTTCAAACAGTAAGGACTAAATGTTGAGCAAGGGCTTCCGCGCTCTCATGGACCCACTCATGCCAGCCAGTCTCATTCTCTGACGATTTTTTTGTGGGTCCGAAACGATTGCTTTCGTGTTATCAGCATCCCCACCAAACCGCGTCAAAATCACATTTAAATCTCCATCAAAATTATGGAGTTTATGAATCTTTTAATTTTGTATTATGAAAAAATTTATATGATATTGATTTTGTTTTAAAAAATTAATTTTTATTTGCTTATCAAAAGGAATTCATATAAATATATATTATAAATGATAAAAAAATTATGTAACCGTAATAATTTTTCTCTCCTTATAGTATATTAAATTTGAATATCAAAAATAAAAAATTAAAAATTAAAAGAACATAAAATATTAATAAAATAATTTTTTTAAAAAAGTGATTCTTTATTTGTTTTTAATAAATTTTAAACTTTTTTCATAGTTTACCAAACAATTTAAAAATTTAAAAAATAACATTTTTTAAACCAACCAAACCCCGCATAAATAAATCCATCTCTATAACATGATACAACTTTTTGAATATATATATATATATATTATCAAAAAATAATATAAGCATATTTTCTTAATTTCAAAATAATATGCACATATGTTTACTCATTGCATGCAAAAAAATGGAAAGATATAAAATTAATCAAAAATTTTTCGTATTTTTGCATTTTCTCTTTATTTTTGAATATCACGCTTTTTTGTTATTAATGTGTCTTGCTCATTTTTTAAATCCCTCCTAATTTCACTACATTTTTGTAGAAAATTAAGTTTTATTAAGCCTTCTACATTTCCATAATAATTACTATTATCTTTGGTACCATGAACTAATTTATTTTTTTGGGTAAATTGATATTAAATAACATATAACCTATCTGGCTGTTATTTTTAAAAGGAATTTTCTTTAAAAAAAGGATAAAAAAGTGATATAAATTAAAGAAAAATTGAAGAAAATTTTAGCTATTACTAATCATAGTTTTCTCCGGCGAAGACTACCATTTTGTTTGATTGCAAGGTTAGTGCCAGAAAGGGAAAGAAAATAGAGGAGAGAAGATCGAGGCCGTTGATTGATGCACAAGCCTAATTCGGTAATTACATATTTGTCCAACGTTTAAAACACAGGTTTCCCTTTCGCAATGGAAAAATAGCATAATATTCCTCTCCACCTCTCTGACAGCACTCAACAAAATTATCAACGCTCGCTCATACATTTGCCTCTTTGGAACTACTCTGTTCTCTCTTTAACATCCAAATAATATTGTCTACTATATTTTTAGAGGGAAAAAGATTATATTTTTTTAAAAACAATCCTCCATCTCTGGTTGTCTAATTTATACTTTGAACTCCGATTCTTCCTCCATTTCCAGGAGGGATAACCATTCTCTTCTCAAGACAATTCGTGTTCTTCTCAGCACATCTTTTGTTGTTGCTGAGGTCTACCCGTCTTACAGCAATCACCTTCTTTGTCCTTCAGTTTCTATTCACAGAAGTAGCGCAGAAAGATTTCTGCTCCATTGTTTTTTCTCTTGTTTGCTTCTCTGGGTTGTTTTTTTTTCTTTTTCCTTGTTTTCTTTTTCCGTCTATTTCTGTGCATACCTGTCCTGTTGCCTGTGAATTTAACCTTTTGAAGAACCCATTTGGAAGAATATTCAGAACTTTCATCAACCTCTAGAAGAACCATTTTGGGTAAGATTCGGAATTTTCATCTGGGTCATCGGATTTGAAGCTTTGAGGGATTCTCATGGCAATGCAAAATGTGGGTTTCCCCTGAAATTTTGCTTTTTAAAGAGCTGGAGTTTCAGCTCATTGATTATCAAAATTTTCTTCTCCATTTCATGACTTTCAATGATCTGGGCTTTTCCAATTTGACATTCCTTCTCTCTCTGTAAAATTCTCGACCCACAATCCCATTCTCACACAATGTACGGAATACATCGCAGTGGACACTTAGCCTTAGAACTCCCGTATCTACGGCCGAGCATTCACGCGAGAAGGGCGAATATCATCGTAAAATTTCAAGACATTTATGGGTTTATAGTAGAAGGTAATGTTGATGATGTAAATATCTTGAATGAGGTGAGAGAGAGGGTAAGACAACAGGCTCGGGTTTGGTGGGCTCTGGAGGCCAGCAAAGGCGAGGAATGGTATAAGCGGCTCAATCCTCATCAGCCCTTAAGTCTTCCCTTAGATTTTCAGCTTTAGTTAATACAATTACCCTCAAGAAGCTTGTTAGGAAAGGGATTCCTCCGGTTCTAAGGCCTAAGGTCTGGTTTGCTCTATCTGGGGCGGCCAAGAAGAAATCTACGGTTCCTGAGAGCTATTATGAGGATTTGACTGAGGCTGTTGAGGGAAAGGTCACGCCTGCCACGCGGCAGATCGATCATGTGAGTTGTTTTGCTCATTGCATCAAATTAATTGTTGTCACAGTTTTGTCTATTGCTTGATTATAATGAATGGATCATGTGATAACCGAGGCCTGCTTGGATTTGTTTCGGAAAACAATGAACCCGTTTGGCAGGCTGTTTTCAGAATTCTTCTCAGAAGCTATTTTCGTATGAAATTGAAAACCATAAGAAAACAATTAATTTTTCAAGACATTCAGTCTTTTGTGCTTTTGAGCATACAGAACAAAAACCGCAAATTCAGAATAGAATATAAATCCAAATTAATCGTGTGACTTGTTGATCGTAGCATTGCGTGTACTAGTTTTCCAGGTCCTTGAATTTGCATGTTGATTGATTGCAAATGATCATGCTAAAACTGAGGGCTGCTTGGATTTATTTTAGAAAATTTTTATTTATTTCCGAAAACCTATTCGTTCTGTTGTTTTGGAAAATTGTTTTCAGAGAAATTTTCAGAAAACGTGTTATTTTTAGAATTGAGCGTTGAAGATTTTCAGCATTCTCTGGAATTAAATATACAGAAAATGAAAACTGATAACAAAATACATAGCCGTTACAAACCCTTTAACTGACCTTGGTCGGTTGGTTCAGATATACTGGTTATTGTGTCTCGCTTTTTGACAAAAGATGGGTAACTGAGCTTGAAATTTTCAATTCCAGTAGATGTGATATGGGTCAGCTTCTTTATAATCAAAAAAGGGGTAGTTCTCCTCCAGAATCTATTTTGCAGATGCAATGTTGGTTATCCTCTCCACTTGATGCTGACAATGAAATTTCCAAGTTTACATTTTGGCTAATTTAAAGTTCAACTGTTTTGCTTTGGCCAGGGAACAATCTTAACTGCAGGAAGATTTTTAATCAGTTCCTGAATGATTTGGGTCATGGTAGATGAAAAAAGCAATGAAATTTAAGAACTACTGAAAACCACCAGATAAACATGGACTTTAAATATCTCACTCGGATAAACATGAATTCTTTCTGGATTTCCTTGCAGTTTATTCATAAGCATGGATGGAGTTGATTATCATGGAGATGCATTTAAGGCCGTAGCTTGTTTTAGATGCAATTTTACTTTTTCTTCCAATAGTTCCAATTGTATTTAATGGGATTCATGGGAAATTGGTTTCCAGCATTTAGTACTTTTTTTTTCCTTTGTAATTTCACGTTTTGTAAGGTTAAACTTTACTGTTCTCAAGTTTAAACAGGTTGGTTTGGATCAAAACTGTGAGCAAGGAGTTTGCCTGTATATATATATATATATATATATTTTTTTTTTATTTGTTGTTCCATTTTTTTTTTCTTTGGCATGCTGAGCTGAATAAGATGACAGAGAGGAATACCATCAAGAAAATTTTCATTTATTAGTAATTTATTTTTGAAACAAAAAGAACATAATACTTGAAAGTACAGTATTTGACAATTAGAATGAATTTCATGTTGAGCAAAAAGTTCAAAGTTCTATTGGTTGAGGGTTTTGGACTTCTGTAATATTTTGTTGCCTACTAAACTACAGTTCCATTGGTGGCATTTGGCACTTACAAGGATGATTTGGATTCTCATAGAAGCAAATTAAAATCTTTCATCTTAAGTGATGTTCAATGTTAGCTATGCCAACATTTTCTTCTATTTTCTTTTTCTCTTTTCCTATATCTTACAGGATTTACCAAGAACATTTCCTGGTCACCCATGGTTGGATACTCCGGAGGGTCACGCTGCTCTCAGACGTGTTCTTGTGGCGTATTCTTTCCGTGATTGCGAAGTTGGTTATTGCCAGGTTTGTATTTATTCTGTCCTGCCCTATATCAATAGGAAATGACTGTTTCTCAGAACCACTTGCATTTGCAGAACAAATTATGTTTCAGAACTATCTGGTGTATTGGGTAAATAACACTTTTTGTCATGTAGTTTCCTTCAAAACCCATTTTGGTCCCTTTAGTCTTAGTCCTAACACATTTAGTTTTAAGATTTTGAAGTATTGACACATTTGGTCCTCTGCTTTCTAGATAAAAATGCCAAATTTCTGCACTTGAAAATCTAATTTCTGGCACAGGTGAGGGATGGTGGGATTCAACTGTTGGTAACAATAATCTCCAGCCATTTCTTAGTTACAGTGAAGCCAAATTTTGGAGAAGAAGTTAGGTTAGTGAACTGATTTGGGGTTCTTTCCCACAAAAAAAAAAAAAAAATGATGACCAAATGTGTTTGGCACTGTTGCAATTTTGGGATTAAATGCATTACATTTGAAATTATGGAGGACAAAATGATGTCAACCTGTGGGAACTAAAAGTGTGATCTGCCCTTGATCATTTATAATTTTAGGTAACATTTCAAATACATTATAAGGTATAACATGCCCTTAGAAATGCAACCAACACATGTTCCAGAAAAATAGTCTGCTTTACTGTTATGCACAGAATGCCCAAGAATCCCATTCTGTGCATTCTAGGCCTATATTAATTTGTAGATAGCATTTTAATTAATGGAAGCATTTAAAACTGTCAATTTAACCATGTATGCTCATGTAAGCATATTCACACACAACTCTAGAAAACTTCGAAATAAGCACCTGTATACAAATGCATCAAGGGGCAAAGAGCCCAAATCCCTTTGTACACAAAATAGGCCTAGTCTATTTCCATATCCATTTTGTTAAAACCTGAAATACTGAAATTTTCACTTTCATCAATCGATTTTATTACCAGCTCCTTCCTCCTTGTTTTCTTTTCACTTTACAACTACTCAATCCTCATCCGGAGAATTTATTTGCATTATTTCATTACAAACATCTGCATCCTTCATCACTAGTTAGCCTGGTATATTTTGAGAGATTATTATTCTGTCTAATGTCTGTTGTGTTAGTTTTTTGCAATCTCTTTTCACGTCTCCTAAACTTAGTTTATGATTAATTTAGAATATCATTGTAGTCTTAGAATATATCCTTTTCATTGATTCAAATGATGAATTGCATAATCCCTCTAGTTTTACTGTCGGATAGCCAGTCTAGTTTCTCTCTTGAAGTACACAACTTTATTATATGCTTATGTTCTTGAATAAATAATTTGCTTTGAGGGGGTTAGAAACTGATTTCTTCAAGGATTTTGCGGAAAGGGACCAATGTTACTCCTTGACTTCTTTTTTCGTCTGTGATAGATGATAAGAGTAAAAAAAAAATGTTCTACTTTGTTATGATTTTTAAAGTTGAATATTTAAATCTCATAACTTGACCTAAATTGCTTTTGGTGCAGGGTTTAAATTATGTTGCAGCATTGTTACTGCTTGTGATGAAAACTGAAGAAGATGCTTTTTGGATGCTAGCTATACTTTTGGAAAATGTTCTAGTTAACGATTGCTACACAAATAACTTATCAGGATGTCATGTCGAGCAAAGGGTATGCAAAGATCTTCTGCTTAAGAAATGCCCAAGGTAATGTTTTGCCCTTCAAAAGCAAATGAATTTTTTGGGGATAATTACATTAAACCCTACTAAAATACCACATCATTTCACCTTTCCCTCTGAAGTATAAAAGTATACAGTTAACTCCTCAAAGTATTGAGCTGTGGCACTTAACCCCCTTCTGACTAATTGACATTAAAGAAGTATGCACTTAACTCCCTTAAGTATTGAGTTGTGGCACTTAACCCCCTCCGAGTAATTGACATTAAATAAAATAATGACAACTTGTTCTAATTGATCAATAAAACTCCATTTTTACAGCCATTGAGAAAACATAACTCTACAGACCTATCCCAACTCCCAGTGAGCTTTGAAGAGGGGAAATTCTTCCTATGCTTGTCTCTAAACCATATACAAAGCTCCCTTTCTCTATGAAAAAACCTATGTATGTAATGGGGTAAAATGAGAATTATAAGGCGTAGAGCCATTCATTATTTAATGTCAATGGATGTTAGATACTTTAGAGGAGCTAATGCTCACTTTTTTATTACAAGGGTGTAGTAAAAACTGTGATACTTGGAAGGGGTTTAATGTAATTTACCTTTTTCTTCTACCATTTGTTCATTCTTTTATTAAATTAGAACAGAAATGTAGGATAGCTGCACACTTGGAAGCTCTGGATTGTGACGTCTCCCTTATTACCACTGAGTGGTTCCTATGCCTCTTCTCCAAGAGCCTACCTTCAGAGGTTAATCAATTTTGACTGCCTCTCCCTCCCTCTCTCTCTCTCTCTCTCTCTCTCTCTCTCTCTCTCTCTCTCTTCATACAGAGCAGTTTCTCATTGTTAGCCTTTTATGACATCTGACTGTCACCTGCAAACTTCTTTTCAGACTACTTTGAGGGTGTGGGATGTACTTTTCTATGAGGGAGCAACGGTTTTATTTCATGTAGCTTTGGCCATTTTCAAGGTCTGTAGTATTTGTTAATTTAAATCTACTTGGCTCTTTAGTGTTGTTGACTTTTGTAACTACTAGATGCAATGCGTAAATTCAAAGTAGGTAATGCTTTTCCTTCATGGTTGCAGATGAAGGAAGAAGAGTTGCTCATGGCTCATCAGGTTGGGGATGTAATTAATATTATACAGAGAACCACTCATCAACTTTTTGACCCTGACGAGCTACTGATGGTATCATAATTCTCCAATTCCATTTATTCTTTTTCTTTCTTTCAGTTTCTTTCTGAAATGCTAAGCCGCCTCAGTCTTTCTAAAACTCAGTGACTAAATCTAGAAAATAATGCTTCGAGGACACCAAAAATGAAACCATCTATTTCTATGCAGTATTTTGAAGTCACTGCTCATGTTTGTAAGTTGATATTAAGAAAGAAGATTAAAGCCTACCAAAGTGACCTCAATGTATTTTAGATGTGTAGTAAGGTACTCTCGTTCCAAATGCTGTAATTGACATTGTTTGGTATTTAATTGTTCTTGAAAACTGTTTTTTCTCCTGGAACAGAAATGAAACTTGTTAATAAAAACCTGTTTAGAAGATTGTTTCTGGAATAGAAAGCCACTCAGCTTTAGAGAGTGAAAAGAAAATGGCTTGTTTTCCAGAATTCCTCTGTTACTATTTTCTATCAAAAATGAAAACATATGCAAAACAATAGAATCTTCGAACTTTTTATTACTTCTTGTTCTAGAAATCATCAGTCATCATGTCCTGACAATTCTTGCAGGTTGCTTTTGATAAAATCGGGTCAATGACAACCACCACCATATCAAAGGAAAGGAAGAAGCAGGAACCAGCAGTAAAGGCAGAACTTTATCTGAGATTACAAAAACTAAAGTCCATGAAGGAGGAGGATGATTAGTGAGGAGCTTGGGACTATAGTGTCATAATGTAATATATATCAGAAAACATTAACGGATGTATATCCCCCGTGAGAAGGATATCAAAACTAGTTTCTACTTCTCTTGTTTCCTGCAGTGTGTAGTGTAAATATGCAGTCTTTGAATTGTTACTTTCTGCTGTCAAACTACAGTCAACAGGGTGTATTGCTGGATCTATGCCCGAGTGATTCAATTTTTTTAAAATCTATTTTCAACATATTTTTTGATTTTATTTTATTTTATTTTACTTTTTTGTTTGGGGTCCAGAATTCAAAGTAATAAAAGTAGATACAAGAGCGAGAACCCTATGGAGATATCGAATTTTACAATCATCTCTGGCGTAAAACGCTATTTACAGCCTAAGAAAATGTTACACTTCAAAAAATGTATGAATTAATTTAAGCCTATAGAATGGATGGATGAATACCGATTACCATTCTCCCTCACCTGATGGTATTTCTTCTTAAGGTTCTTCAGCCTATACACAGCATGTATACTAAGACATAGTAGAACAATCAATATAGAACATTACACTCCCTTTCTATTTCTCTTTCCGTTCTCTTCTCTTTTCTTATATATATATATATCTTGTCCCGATATGGGATGATAGTTAATGTAATTGAAAATTCATTCCTTGGGCCTTCTAGTTGCTAAATTTGGTATTAGAGCTTGGATGAAAGGAGGCATAGGCTGTTACTAATGCCAAATTTAATTCATTCTCGTTCACCTTTATTCACATGGTTGTATAACATATATGCCAAAAGTTGGTCATACAATATACATTTTGAATCCATCACACAACATTTTAACTTAAATTTTTAGATAATACGTAATCTAACAAGTGATTATTCCTTGATCAAAATGTGGAGTTGTTGTCAACATTACCTCAAAAATCTCTTAGGGATATCATAAAGTTGTGATGTGTTAAAAATTACTGCTATGTTTTATCTATGCCCTTGATATTCAATAGACAGATCTTAAGAATAGTTCCCAAAATTAGAACGGAAGTCTCTAGTATCATCATTAAAATTAAATATAAATGGAAAACCATTGAATACACTTCAAAGAAGAAAATGTCAAAACTGAAGTAGTATTCTATCAACCTATTTCATATGTGTCTTCTTTTTTCAGTAAAGAAATTACAAATCCAACTTTTAGAAACACTTTCCCCCTCCATTTGCTTATTCATCAGAATCAAATGTAATAGTTTTTCTGAAAGAATGTGCTAAGGACAGCAACCTCTAACTACACAATGGAAGTTTACAAGAACCTCTTCTCTATGATTATCAAGAAGATCAGCCAATGAGCATGCCCTCCTGCATCCGCTTGTGTTGTCATAAAATGAAGGGGGGCTTTTGGGGGAAGAAAGGATAGAATTGACTTATACTAACTGCAACCCATTTCTCTTTCTCCATGGAGAGAAATACAGTATAAAAAATTAAAAATGATAAACAGCTATTCTCGGTCTCCTTTATTGGCTGGGTTGTCCTTTTCTACCTCCTTTGAAGGTTCCTTATCTTCGACAGATGGAGAGGGTTCTTCATTTTCTTCATCTTTTTCTTCAGTGCACATATTGGAAATGTCCCCTTCTGGGGCAGTCTCCTTGCTGGCCTCAGAGGAAGCCTCTAGGTTTTCATCTTCTTCTTTATTCTCTTCTATAGTTGCTTCTATGGTTGTTAGATCGTGCTTCTCATCCTTCTGCAATAGGCTCCAGTACATGATGCTTGCCGTTAGGATGAGGATCATCTTCTGGTTCACCTGTTGAAACAATATCATTGTGAATAGGGTTCAGTTTTTCTGAATAAAATTGTTCAAAATATTAAGATTCTTAAAGTAGCTTAAAGCATTGGAAAACAAACGTTTATATATTTGGATGAAAGGGCTTATTGTGAAAAGTAAGCTCCAATAACATGTTTGGAAATTAAAATAATGATGGAGGATGTAAAGATAATTATAAAAAAGGTGCTAATGAGCAACAATAAACGAGAACCAAAAAATTAAGAAATGGGTGCTTCTTTTTTCTCCTCATCGTGTTCTTATATTACCTGCTAATTTGGTGCTTACTTTTTATCAAATGGACAGGATAAAATTATATACAAAAAAGAAAGAAAAGGCAATGGGGCAGTGCTTTAGCTAGAGCTCAAAAAAAAAAAAAAAAAAAAAAAAAAAATCAAACACTCTTTGAAAGTCAGAAGTGCTATGGCTTCTTTAAACTTTTCAATCAGCAAGAGCAGAACAGCTATCACAGTTTTATTGACTTGATGAAGCACATCAAGCACAGTTCGTATTTACATGGGAAACCTGAAAGGGGGTATATCCGTGTTATGAGAAATCACTGACGGCCTAGCTTATTACATTTTGGTCTCATGTTTTGAAACGTGGTACACTTGCACTCCAAGACAGATAGGTAACATATCAATTCAAAGAAATCAATCCTGATACTGTTTCCTATTTTTTTCCCTTAGGACAATAAACTTCTTATATAATAAACTCAAAACCTTGGGATATCAAAAGTCTAGTCATGTCATGTACCCGTTGACCCATAAAAGTACTGAAGTCATATTTTGATATGATTAATTTGAAGAAAAAATAGTCTATATTTTCCTAAAGACAAATCATTAACAGAATTTTTCAATAAAAAGTTTTAATGGTATAATCTACATAAGCATAACTTAGCAAAACTATTTTTTGATATATATAGTGTACCCTGATCCTGTCCCTCACACCCGAACAACTCATGTTCTTGGTAACATTGGTGTAGAACAATCAAGGGATTCAGGTTCAGTTGGGAGCTCAAGCAACTACTGCAAAGAAGATACTTGTACTGTAGATAGTTGCTCTTCAGTGTAATCTCAAGGAAGTGGAGAAACTGTGATTCAAAATTTTGCCCATGTTCATTAAGTCGTACACTTACCTCCATTATGTCATCAGGCAACAAGAAAATTGAACAGCCTAGCTTTCGAGCAACACTGATAATATATGTAGCATTAAGTCTCTTATCCTCTTCTGCAATTACAGCAACAGAAATTTGGTCAGCTATTGCTGAAAAGGGTGGAAATTTTCCACTTGAATGTACTGGTTCTGGAGTCATGCCGACAAGTCCAAATGACTAAAATTTGTGCACTCCAAGCTTTTCACTGCAAATAAGGAAGAAGAAGGAAGAGGGAAGGGAGAAACCGTAAACAAGATAATCGACAATACATGAACCAAGAATATATTACCTGTTTCTTTCTTAGTAACAACACTCCAGTTGACAACCCTTGGCTCCACAGAACTAAGAAGCTCTAGGAAGAAGATTCCATTTGAAAGGTTTTTGTCCTAGCCATAATTACATCCCAAAATATTCATAAATTACTACAAAAATTTATTCATAATACAAGGACATGGCTTTGGTAATTACCTTAAAACTCTCCATTCGAGATGTTCTTCCTGAACTTTTCACCTTCCAGTTTGCCCAATTTAGAATGTCACTATCTGTTATCTCCTTTCCACAGGTGCGAGACTTCAAGTTTCTCAGAAGTTGGAACATAGTAAACCTCATCAATTGCCATAAAAACGCTGAGGTTGAAAAAGGTGAATTTTAGTAACCTTCCCTTTTTTTCAACAAAAAAGTGATCATAATATTTGAATCTTGGGGACCTTCATTAATGTTAAAAACTAGAGAACGTATACAAGAAAGTTAGAAGAGAAGGGACAAGAAGAAAGATGCAGGAGGGATTTTTTTTTGAATTAGATGGTTTAAAAAGAAAAAGATGTCCAAGAGTTTGTCAACTGCTATTCCAACAGAGCACAAGTAATTCAACCACTACCAGTTCAAGAAAGCATTTTAATTCATTAGAAAACAGCCTAGAGAAGTTACAAAGATGCCATAGTCCATTGATGCTTCAATTGACAAATGGAAAACATGCAAATAAAGCTAACAGAAGATGTTCAAAGCACGGTTGCCGCAAATAATAATCATTTCTCCATAGCAACATTTCTATAATAGCAAATAATCCTTTTTTATGTTTTCCTAATTTTTTTAATGAGGTTTTCCTTGGTCATAAAGGGTACATAGAAAGAATCTTGAGCTAACTTTTTGTTTGTCATCACAAAGAGGATCATGCCACTTGAAAATTAAGCAGTGAGCACATAACACCTCACCATTTTAGGGTCTGGAGAGTATCTACAAACTGCATTATGTTATCAATTTTTTTTCCCCTGAATAATAAATGAAACCTATATCCTGATTTATTAGATCAGCCATCGAGTTAACGATACAGTGCATTGGATACATGACCACATATAAAGTAACTTGTAGTTTTATATGTTCACTGAAAGAGAAAGATCTGTTCCTGCAAATCCTGGAATTCTTAATGTCTATGTATACGTTAAAACAAGATCAGAGCCACGTCAATGGAAGTATTTGAAGTTCAAACTCCACCTAATTTGTCAGAATAAGAACACTTCGCCATAGATCATATCTAATTTCTTCGACCATCCAATGGTTAATAAACAAATATTGAGTAATATAATGTAAAATTACAAAACTGGATCATATCAGGTTCCATAACTGCTCAAGTCACAACTCACAAGTTCCCAAGGTACTATAACATAACCTTAGAGGCAAAGAGGCCAATTCTAAGGGAAAGCTAGATAGGATACTAATATGCCAGAATGAGAGCTCACAGAGAGAAAAAAGAATAATATCAGTTCATTACATGTTACTTTTCATTTTTCTTTATTTATTTATTAATAATAACAATACTACTATTACTACTACTACCATTGTGGTTTGGGGTTGGGGGGGGGGGGGGGAAGGGATATTTAGGAGACGAGATCTCACTGACCTAGAATAAGCTTCTTGTTTCCTTGTACAATATCATTCCCTGCTACATTAACAAGAGAGAAATTTAAATCCCTTCCAATGCTTATTACTTGGTTGCAATTCTCAACCTTTCTAAAAGGCATCTTGATAGGAGGTTTTGATGCTAGCTTCCAGTTCACTGATCCAGGGCAAACTTTGTCAAGAACTTCCAATAAAACCCATCTGCATGTCAGAGGGACAAAATATCAAGCCAAAAAAAAAAAAAAAAAAAACTCATTATAATGGTAGGAAATCAAAACCTCACCCCGTCCTGATATCCTCAAACACATTATTTACATATGAATCAATTCCAAGACTGTTAATCCACAGTCGAAAGCATCTCTCCTCCCTACAAGTTTGAGAATCATCTGCCATCCTCTCAGCAAAAGAAATCTTCTTGCTGTCAACAGATAAGCCATTCCTGTACAAAGAAATTCACACATTGATTACAGATATACCCTGGCAAATTTTTGACAAGAAGCTAAACAAGCAAAAATACAGAGGCATTTAGACCTGGAAAATTGATCGTTGTTCAAGTGAAATTTTAAGGATAAAGGTTACTTGCATGAGCGAGAGTTGGATGTGTAATGGAGATGTCAACCAGGTAATTTATTCCTTTTGTAGCTAAAAGGACTGTATACTGTTACGATATGAACGGACAGTGCTCAGCTTTTGTTTAATATTCTTATATTCAATCAAATATTTCACGTTTTATTTCTAAGTGGTATGTGTGTAGAAAATTTAGGATCAATTGTTATTTGAAGTCCAATCACTCATCATTTTCATACCAAGTGCACAGAGTTTTTAATATACTGAATGGTTTCTATAATTAAAATATGATAGATGCTTCCTATTTGATGCATGGTGAACTTGTGATTCATCACTCACATGAAAGGATTCCTTTCTATCAGAGTAACAGTGGAATGTGAATGCTGACCTGTGCTGGAATATTTGAGCAACAAATGCAAGATTGAGGTTCGACGTCCCTTCCACAATATCCTTTGCAGTAATATATTGTTTGCAACCCATTTTCTCTGAATGCTCAATAACCAACTTTGCTCTTTTGGTAGGATCCTTTGTATCCAATGTGTTTGCATTTCCATACTCCGGAGCAAGAACATTGAGCAAGTGTGCATAAGCTTCAGCATCCTGCAAGTGCATGGGCTGGTCACATCTAATAGAAGAAAAATAAAGGAGGATCAAAGGCAGCTTTTGGTTTTTGACAGGATGATCTTAATACGGCTGATTGATCACACAGAAGAATTTCTCCTCTGAACAAATCATGGAACTGAAAAGCTAATAAAAAGTATGGCGCTCGGAATTTATGCACTTCAATGGTAATGTCAACGGGGATATTACTAACTCTGACTTCCAGGTGTCATATAAACGGATATGTGCAAATGCTTTTAACTTCTGATCATCAAAACATGCCAATTAAAATTACTTTTGCCACTAGATTTGAGTAAAAAGAGTTTCATCATTAGACTTTATAGGAACTGATGAAAATTCTCTTACCTTCACATCAGATGAAAAATTTGTGACCTGTTTCTTGTAGCCTGCTTTCTTCAGATGAAAATTCATCCATTTGAGTAAAAGCTTTTCCGGTGGTAAACCAAAGAGTTCCTCAACATCCTGCACATTCCATCATGTCATTAGATTGAATTTGGTAGTGAAGCACAAACATAAGGCCTGACTGTTTCTCTGCAGTAGAAATGAAAGGTAAAACCAGTCAACTTTTCCTGACCTTGCTGTCTTCCACCAATTCCACGAGTTGGGGAGTTTTCCTCAAATTGAGATCAGCTAACAGTTGAATCTGGTGTTACCAAAAATATACACAAACAAGATTGGAAATTCAATGAATGGATTCACACATGCCCAAGACATATCAGTTGAACAAAGTAAGGATACCTTGATTATTTGAGAAGTCAATCCCATTATAAGATGTGGCTACAAGAAAAAGGAGAACAAAAAGATGCTTCAGCAACTCACAAGTGTAGAAATGGAAAATATTCAACAACGTTTCAGGGGACAGCTATGGTAGCTTAACCTACTCGTCCTTCAATGAAGTCCTGTGTGCCAATATTCACCACAGTGCAGCCTATAGCCTTTGCAGAATTGAGACAAAGTGTGTGATTCTCATTCCTCTCCCATAAATTTAAGGTGGACTTGGTGTTAATAGCTCGCTCGTCTATTGTACCAGGGACAGCAACATTTATGAGCTTACTGCATAGAACAAGCAAAAGATTAACAAACCGCATACAGTCATCCAAAGAGGAAACCATGGAAGTACGAAGTCAAAATTTATATATACCATAGAAGAACCCCATCCTTGCAAAGATCAAATAGGTCATTGCCAGATGGATCTATGGGAAGATATTTCTTCAAGAATTTATCGTCTCTAAGGAAGCTGTTGATATGGGAAACATAAGAAGCCTTCTCAGATTGACTAATGGAATGGCGTAGGGTGGTTGTGGTAGCCTTAAGAAATGAAGAAAGGTTTTTGGATTTTGGCCCATCCGATTTTGCTGTTGCTCTTGCCAATAAATTCAGGTATGCCTGTGCATCAAAAAGTCCTAGTATACTCACTTATTCGTACTACTAAGAGAAATATACTTCAGCTAAGAAACACAAAAGTGAATAGCATTAGTAGCGTGTAAGAGGTCAGGATAACTTAGCAGCATAACTAAGGGAAACAACTTCTAAGAAGAATTCCATTGTTTGCATTTTTCTTCTTGGTTTCCCATTTAAATATGTTTCCCCAAAAAGAAAAGTCATGAAGTCTGCTGCCAATTAACTGGCATAATAGTTAAACCTCTGTACTTCAAGGGAGAAGGACAATTTTATTCTACAATTTTGGTGAATTCAATTTTATTTTGGATAATAAAATATGACATCTGTTATGTACTATTTCAATTTTCCAAATAAATATCATGACTGCCCCACAGCATTTCCAACTTGGGGTGGAACTTCTTTAGCTGACTTGGCAGGTCAACCTTAGATTTTTAAGAGGACATGGCACTTTCGATTCAAATTACATAATCGCCATTGTGTCTTGTCAGATTGGAACCCAATCTGGCGTGTTAGTTTAACGAGACTAACAAGCCATTAAAAACTACCATGCCACATCTGAGAATGGCATATAGGCAATTGCAGCATTCATTTGATAATTTGGAATAACATTGACTAAGTTGTCAGATTTCGTAAGATGACAAAAAGTACAGAAAGAATTGTGTGTTATATATGCCGTATTTGAAGAATGTCATCCCGTTTCTAAATGCTATTCTCATCAAGTTTCCAGCAACTTCCAGATTCCAGAAATGGTGACAAAACTAGAAGAGACATTGTGCATGTAACTTGCCGGTAAACTTACCCGAAGGAAGGATTCAAAATCTATTTCTACACTCATATCAGAAGATGACTCCCCCAAGATAGTCTGTATCTGTGTCTCGTCAAACACTTCACTCAAACCCTTTAAATTCACCATAACTGGCGGCAAATCTCCCAAGGTAACTTTGCCAGATTGTTTTATTGCTGAAGCAAACTATACGCAAATGCAATCATATGTCAATCTAGAATTGTCACCTCTCAAAAATTAGTCCTTGCAAATTAGACAGTAGTGTACAAATAAGTAAAAAAAAAAAAGTTAAAAATAAATTACTCTAATAAAATCACATACTTTAGATTTGAGGCCGCGAAGCTCCACTTGAGTGAATTGGCTTTGAAGCCATGGATCAGATACAAGAATACCCTCATAACCAGACATGTTGCTTGTCTTCTTGAGAATTCCAATTGGGAGGGGGGAAAAAGATTACCGACCAGAAAGCAAACAATATATTAAGGAAAAATTTTCGAACGTGAGATCGTATCACTGTAAGCAAATGAATGCCCTGTTGATTCCTTTAACACACATGCATACCAACTCTGCCTGTTAGGTTGAAATAACATTTGGTTGGAGAGAAAATGTAAGGGGAAAAAACAAGCAAATATAGATTTTCATTACTTTAAATCACGACATGACGAAACCCTGAAATCGGATTGCTGGTGATTATCTTCGATTGAGAACCAAAACTTTCATCTTTTTGGTTTTTGTCAGCAACCAAACTGAAAGTTGACACAATCCAATCACCATTGCAATTGAGGAAATATATTGAAAACCATCAAAACATGCCGGAATCTAATCATATGGTAGGAGAATGAACCTACTTTAAGGTCGGAAAATCATTTTGAGATTCAAGAGTCGTGTCGTGTCGTCGCCAACGTATGCTCATTCGGATGGTCCATGGATGAGGGAAAGGACACAGACTGTGATTAACACGGAGAGAGACAGCCAGTGAACGCAATGGTGGAGAGAAAGAGAGAGGAGAGAGGAGGGAGAGAGACAACCGTTTACCTATGGGACCGCTGAGCAATCCGTGGGATACCCTGTTGGCAAAGAATAGCCCCCAAAAGTGGCAAATCTGAAGCTTGGAGCTCAAACAAAATATAAAGGTTCTCTTACGTGTACGTATCGTGCATGAAATATAGTTACAACATACTAACACTAAGAGCATGCAAGGTTTCTGAGTCCTACACATGCATCTCAACGAACAGAGTGAGAGGGACACGATAGTCCTCAGAATAGTCTGTTAGCCAACCAATCAAAATAATGGCTTCTTTTGCCGGTAATTAAAAATACAAGAATTAAAAATAAGAATACCCAAGAGATGGCCCATGCAGGTCTCGAACCTGCGACCTTCGCGTTATTAGCACGACGCTCTAACCAACTGAGCTAATAGGCCAGGTAGATGCTGCAAGATTTTCTTATCTGTTATACTATGACAAGTAACTGTGAAACTCCCGCCCAAGCCCTTCCCTATTTTTATTTGTACTAATCTCTGACGATAAAGTAAAAAAAAAATAAATAATTTCAATTATTTTCAACGGCCTAATTAATTAAACTTTTGTTAGGGTATGGTATAATAAAATAATTTTTAATAAAATATAAATAAAAGTAAAAATAGGAATTGAATGAAATTAGAAATGAAATGATTTTTAATGAAATATAAATAGAAGTAAAAATGAGAATTGAATGAAATTAAGATTTTTATGAGTATATTTAGTATATATTAGTAAAATAAAAATTTTTATTTTATTATTATATTTAGTATATTGGAATAGATGTAGAAGAGTAAATAAAAATATATTCAAAAACAAAAATATCATTTGTTATAAAAATTTAAAATATTAACTTTTAATATATTCTGAGCATATTAAAAAATTAAAAAATAAATTTTTTGTCCTAACATTAAAATATTAAAAATTCATATATGTGTTTGTTGTATGTATATAATAAGTTATATATATATATATATATAATGTTATGCAAATATAAATTATGTAATATATAATATACAATATTATACAATTTATTATATTATAATAGATATATATAATATAATATTATAAATACTTATAAGTTTTTATATTTATAAGATATTTTTTGTCATTTATTTAAAAAGTAAATGATATTAATTATATACCTAAATAAAAATTTTATCAAGAGATGAAATCCTGATTGCCTATAGAATGGGAATTCTCATTTCAAAATATCTATCAAATAATTTTTTTTTAAAGATTTTCATTCTTATTCACATTCTCTCAACTATATTTTATCGTACCATACATTATTTTAGTTTTAAGAGAAATCATTCAAATAATTCTTTAGTTTATCTTATTTTTAGTTATTTAATAAAAAAGAGGAAAAAAATAGAAAAGAAAGTTATTTCGGACCAGACGAACTTTCAATCATGTCATAAGCTAGAAAATGGCTTAACTAATGCAAGGAAATAAGAGTCATGGTAGTAGGTCATTGTTCTAAAAGTAATTTTTGGAGCAAAGCAGTAGTTTTTTCATTTCTTTTTAAAGAAATTACACCACAATAATTCCCATTCTCATACAATAGGCCAATAACATATTATCATAAAAAAAGAATAGCCTTCTTATAAGACAAAATTAATCAATTTTTACCCTCCTGTCCCTCAAATTAGATAGCCAAAAGCGAGAACTACCAAATAAACCAGTTCAACACAAACAGCCCCCAGTTTGGCGACACTATAACCAGAAGATGAAAACAAAGACGTAGGGGACAACCCACTTCCCCCTTTCTCCGTATCCGCCGCCGGAGCAATGTCTGGTGCCGGAGCCGGCGCCGGAACCGGAGGTATATCAGTCCCAAAGATAGCCTCGGGCAGAAGCACCTTGTCCACCTGATAAATAGCCACCGGTTCAGTGGCATGAACCGCGCTGCTGACCTTCGTCCTGGTCCAGCCGGAGTCCAATTGCACGGTTCCCGACACATCCGTGAAATTCAACGAATAATCGTCCCCGGCCATTGAGTCGACTGGGCCGGTCTGGCTCAGGTTGACGAAGTCGGCAAGAGTGTAGTAATGAGGTAAGGCATGGAAGAGGCAAAGTTGCTTGATTTGGTCTTCCGTGAGGTTGGAGAGGGAGGGGTTCTTTAGTGATTTGAAAGCTTGGTCTTTTGGGACAAAGAGGGTGAGGCCTTCGACCGTGTCGTTTGCTTGGTTTTGGAAGGTTTGCATGGTTTTGGTGGACTGAAGGTAGTTGAGGAAGGTTTGGAATGGGCCGGCCACCGACAGAAGGTCGGCGAGGTTCACATATTCTGGCGCGGGAGCAGGCGCCGGTGTCGGAGTCGGAGTGGGGGGGAGGGTTGGAGGGGCAGCAGTACTCTGGGAAGAAGCTAATGGAGAACAGAGAAGTACTACAAGAAAGCTGCTTGCCAAAATCACAGTGAAGTCCATTTCTTTATTCATTTTTCTTGTCCAAATATTGTAATGTGTTTCTCTGGTTCCCAATTTCTCAAAATTCCTGCAAAGACCAAGCAGTATTCACTATGAAATCTTTAGCCAATTAAAGCAACAACTAGAATTCAATGGATGAGGCATTCTGTTTCCTGTTATCATTTCTTTTTTCACACTTCTAAATTTAGAAAACATTAAAATTTTAAAAATTCTATTATTTTTGTATTATATTTTTATTTTCAAACAAAAATTCTCATAAAAAAAAAGTTTTCAAAAACAAACCATAATTCTTGAAATAGAAAACTACTTTCAGAAAGAAACCCAAACCAGCACAACTCATAAATGGTGAGATTTCAGTCTCTCAACGAAATGTGTGGAAAAAACTCCAACTAGATGAAACCCATATTTACGACAATTGGTTTGGTTGACGCTGCTGTTGGATGAGCACTCGTTAGGGCAGCACGCACTACATCCATTAGATGGTACTGCACATTATCATCTAACCATTGATAAGATTGCTGCCACGATGGGTGCAGCATCCACCGTCAACTTCACCACAAAAATGTGGCCATAAAACCCAAAGGAGTAAACAAGAGGGCGCAGAACTGACCTGAGCAGGAGGAATGCAGAGAAGCTGTTGGGTTCCAAAAACTGCCAATGGAGTGGGGGGCTGTGAAGTTGAGGATATATAAGAACCGAGTTTTTATTAGAAAAAGATGTGATGTTGAGTGAAGGGAGGAAGATAGCAGTAGATGCAAATTACAGCCCGTTGAAGGAAAGCATTAGACACCCTCTCCCAGGGAGAAGGGAAAAAAATGGTCAAGATGTTTAAGATGGCTTTGGCAGAGAGGAGTTTCCTATAAAAGTGCTTTTCTTGGTTTTTGCTTTTGTAGGGTGGGGTTTCCAAATCAACCACTCAACTTACTGATTTATTTAATTATGTCTAACTTGATAGTCTCCAACCTTGCACTCTACCCTACCCTTATTCTTGAACCATATTCTCTTCTCGTCATGATTTGCTCCTTTCTTGCACCTCCACTAGTATAACGACGTGTATCTCTGTGTACTTATTGTCGCATCATCTCGTTTGCATCTTAATTTAAAAAATGTATTTATATTTATTGTTAAATATTTATTAAATTTATTAAAATATATATATATATATATATTAGAATGTGTAATTATACTACTTATAATTTAATCTTTCCCTTTATTTGATTTGAAATTCGTGATATATTTTTTATTTAAATCTTTAATACCTTTATTAAAGTAGAGTTTATGATCTCCTTTCACCTTATCTACTTCTCTTAGATATGCTTGGTACCTTATCCACTTCTCTTAAATATGTTTGGTACGTGTCACGTTATCATCAAACTATTTTTTAAAATTAATTTTGATATTACTTATCACGCAATTATTATGATTTTTTTCAAAAAATATACTTGTTAAAATAAGCAATGGCACTACTTATAACTTAATTTTTTTTACTTTTAACTGGTTTGAGATTTGAAATGAATAATTTTGTATCAGTTGCATAATTTTCTTTATTCTGTCGTGATTGACTTTATAACTACAGTCCACTTCAAGTGCTTGTCAAATATTAACAGTTATGAGACCAATTAGGCCCAAATCAGTTGTGATTAACATTTTCTAATATTGAGATGGGAATTGAAAAGATTTATTTTTCTTTTATGGTATTTATTTATCTTTAAAATTTTAAATTACAAGAAAAGAATCTTTAAATTTTTAATTAAAAGAGTAAAACATAAGAAATAAACTAAATCTCTCAATTTCCATTAGAATTTATTTGAAGTCTACTCAACCTCATCATGCAAAAAGAAACTCTCTCTCAACTTTCTCTTTTCATAAAAATTTAAAAAATATATTTTGATTTTCTAAATCTACCCAATAAATACAATATGGGAACTAGCATTGGCTGCTGGGTTGTTGCCACGTACTCCTTCCAGAAGAAAACAGACACTTGGCAAGTCTTGCTTTAGCCACCAAATTGTTAGTCAACATCTTGTATCCCTAGAATATTAGGGCATGTTTTGTACTCAAAAACATTTTAAGAATTTTCTTTTTGGTTTTTTCTTTAATTATGCTATAATTAGCCTTTCAATTTTGATATTTTTTTTTCTTCCCACTAACCTAAACGAATAATCAAGAAAATAATTTGCTTTTAATTATATATTAGAGTTGTAGATTTTTCATGAGAGAAGGTGTTAGAATAAAAGTAAGAATTACTTCAACAAAATCGCTGAGATTTAGAAATATCAAACATTCCCAGAAATTCAGGGCTTAAATGCATAAATTAGCCAAATTGTGGGCTATTTTGTTTTGATTTCAGTTTGCTCAAATATCATTCATGGAGCTACTGTTGCTAGAAATCCCTTGGAAGCAAAAGAGTTAGTAAAAGCATGACTTTTACAAAAGGAATTCATTGACTATAGAATAGTTAAAATGTGTTCATCAACATGACAACGATGGGAGCAAAGTGTAAAAATCAAGTTATTTTGTGGTAACTTCTATAAATATTAAAAGATGGGGTGGGTCATTTGTGACATAACTCTCCATGGGACCGTGATTTGTTGGGGAAAGCGCACGTGAAATTACTTGGAAATGTGGAGAAGTTTTGTTAAATTAAGTTAATTAACTAAATCACCCTCAGAACCATGACTTTTGGAATTGAACTTACTTGTCTTACTATGGAATAAGTTGCCCTGCCATTTTCTCACCCAACCTGTTTAGTTGGGATGAGGTTTTCGCCACACAACTCTTAATAATCACATTTCTGCCCATTTTCTGTTGAATTTATTTTTAAATTATTTTCAAAATAATATATAATTATGTATTTCTAATAATGGCAATTAATTAAATATTTGATATATTCAAACTGAATTAGTAAATTTAATCGAACATTATGAGATTTTCCGATATGTTTCTAAAAAATGGAATTATGAGAAGTATTAAATATCGTAAACACCAAAATTTTAAAAAATTTCTGACAGCAATAAAAAATATTTTCAAAAATTTGGGATAATTTTCAAAACAATATATACCAGATCTTCAGAACCAGACATCCATTGGTCCGCCTGATTCACCTACCTACAAAATCTTGTGGGACTTGTCATGATGGTAGCTTACAAGTCCCAATCTATTCCTGTAGCATGTAAGTATAGAATAGTGGTTTTTGAATTACTTTTAGTTTTCATTTCGTACCAAAAACAATTTATATGTTTTGAAAACTCTCATAAAGATAGTTTTAGAAAACGTGTCAAAACAAGTTAAGAAGAAGTGTTTTCGAAAACAAGTCCAAATAAGATATCTCATCCGGTTTCCAAGGTCCATGAACCTAAAAGTCAAGATCAGAAACAATCCATGGATATAAGGTTGCTTCCTTTGAAAATATATCAGCTTTAGACGTGGTAGAAAGACAACGGCAGAACAGCTTTGATTTTCAAAAACATTATTAACTGATAGAACTGGAAGAATGACATCTCAATCTTCACGAAGCATCACAATGTCATTGTAACACTGTTTGGATCTGTTTCCTGTTTTCTGTTTGTGATTTTTGTTGTCTGCATTTTCAAAAAGCAGAAAACACCAAATCTTGAAGACACTATTATTTTTCAATTTTAATTATTAGAGGCATGGTTAGGATGAACCGTTTTTAAGCAATTTTAAGCCCTATTAATAACACTCATTAAGATTCTGTTTTACGGGTAGCTAACATAATAATTTGATGCCATCCATCCCCAAGTCTTGATTTGCCTTGTTCTTTAAGATTGTTTGGTAAACTTGACCTTCTAAACTTTTAAGCTTATCAAAAAATAGGTTAAAATAAGTCATATTTAAAATGTGGCAACCAATTCCATACAGTTTCAACAAGACATTTTACAAGCCTTCAATCCACTTGATATCATGTTTGAATTATTAATTTTTTTAAAATATAAATTATGTAATTGTCCTCAAGTAGGAATAAAACAATATCAAACACATATTATGGCAAAACTCCACTGCTAATGTTGTATTTTGCCTGTCAAACTTTTAATAAGTCCATCATTACAACAAGTCAGAAAATCACGAATTATTGGCTTTTAATGTATGGAACTTTATAAGTTCTTCCAAATTAGAAAGCCCAAGAGCCCAGTTTGGTTAGAAGCCCAAAATTCAGATCAGCTAAATGGACCCTTTCTTATGGACCAAATAGGCCCAAACTATCCAATTTAACTGCAGAAAAATGATCAAAGGGACAGTTCATCCCAATGGAAGAAAAAAGTAGAAAAAATTAGGTATCAAAGACAGTGGAAATGGAGGAGGGCTAGCTTTAAATAGCAGAAACTGCAACAGCGGCCAAAAGATTAGAAGGGACAAATGAAAAAGATGATAAAGTATTCGAACGAACAAACGGATAGTTGGCTGCAAAGCTCTCTGACTCTGAACTATGTTACACTAATATATGTCAACCATATCAACCAAATGGCTTAACCCTGGAAATAAATCCAAAAAAGAATGAAGGAAAGCAGAAACATAGAGAACCAAATGAGAAGACATGCCAAATATAGAAACTAACTCATGGCAAAGGAGAGGAAAGAATATCTAAAGCACAGTCCAAGCTCACTTTTATTCAGGAAATACTCACAGAATAAGATTCAAACACTATGAAAGCTGGTATCAAGCTGGTTAAGACCTCTAGGGATCAATACTTAGAAGCATGCAGAAGTATATAGAACAAAGGAGAAGACACGCCAATACTGGTCAAGAAGTTTGGCATTTAAGGGGTGGCCCAATCCTTCTTGATGTCAAATGTGTAGTCAATCTCCAAATGGCATTTGTTGTCATCATCGACAAACTGAAGACCAAGAAAAATAAATCAGTAAATTACTAAACAAAGACAATGTCAAGACAATTAAGTTAGTTGGCAGGTCATGCATTGAAGACAAGCTGAACCTTTGTGCGAGGCTTCATCAGACAATAAGAACTAGTTTGACATCTATTTTTTATAGAAAACAGTGGCAAACAAAAGAAGCTGACATAGTCATAAATCAGGAAACTGCAGGGTCATCCAAATTCTCTCAACTTGGTAGTCAGTGAATAGATCACAAGTGAGGGGCAGTTTAAGGTAAAATCATATTCGCTAGATTGTTGATAAGAAACATTTAGAAGAGGATCCAAAAAATTTAGGAAAAGCACCAAGCTTTTAATTTCCAAAAGATATGATTAGCCTTATTGTGCAAGAAGTTTTATTAAATAATGAGTATCATGCTTCAGTACTTCACATTACATGCTTCCATTTTAGTTTCAGAAAATTTTCAGCAGTGATATCAAATTTTTTGCAAGAGAGAAGTAAATTGGGACCTCGGATATTTAGAAGCATCTTTTCAAGGACTTATGTACACTTTCAAGCCAGCTAATGAAGACAGCAACATTTGATACAGTAGGAAAATACTAAAAAATACACACATTTCCAGAGAGCTTTTGTAATGCTTAACTTCTTTCGTAACAAGCAATAAACACGTGGAGGTTAGAAGAGTCATTCGTCAAAAGAACCTTTCACAGCCTTTTTCTCACTAGAAAGACATCATTTAATATATATTATTGCCATGATCTTTGATCTGACATTATACAAAAAATGTGAGGAAGAAAAGAGTCCATATCATTGACTTACCCTTGTTTTGGCAGTATATGAACCCCTAGCAAAAAAGCCTGTGGGAGTGGTTTCTTCAGGTATGACATGTGTATAAGGATCTTGTTGAGGACTAAAAGTTCCAAGCATCTCTTTTGTGCTGTCCACTGAAGAACAAGATGAGGCAAAAATCATAACATTCAGGCGTTTTCAAAAATTTTAACTTTGATATGATTGGACAAAGAGTGATCAATTCATTACCTTTCATACCAGTTTTCCATACAGTGTTTGTGTACTTCAGCCCACATACAATGTTGTTGCTGACTTGGAAAGAAAATTTCAAGCTGTAGCGACTACCTTCTTTCAAAGTAAACCATGAACCTTTGGGCTTTCCATCTTCAGGAATAGGAAGAACAATGTCAGGTCGATCAGCAGTGACAATGGAAAGACTAAGAATCTTCACCTCTGGTTCCAATTTTTCTGCAATGAATGGAACAACAAAGCAATTTTCCAGTGCACAAAACTCATCTAACAGAAAACGAAGGACAAAATCATTGGAAAATGAAAGCCACAGATGAACAGAGGAAGGGATCAGAAAAGGACTCTAATTTTAACACAGTAATTCAAAAAGTGAGAACCTTAGCCCAGACAAATACACTGGAGACACAAACCGTGCACACCAAAAAATGTAAACAAATAAATAAATAAAGAAGGAAAAAAGCGAAGGAGAGGAGGGGAAAAAAGAAAAGAGGGGGGAAAAAAATCACCCCTGCTTTCTTGGCTTCTTGAGAACGGATGTCATAAACAACTTTCTGCCTCGTTAATTTGCATTGCATTACTGCAGACAATTTGTGTAATTTACACGAGGAAAATCTTGCTACCAAAGCTAGGGATCATTGGAAATCAGTGACATTTTATTACCTGTTCATGTGTTTCAAAAGTCATCATCTAAATATATGCTTCAGGTAGAAGACAGTTTATACTGCATCACTTTATTCCCTTCCTTTTCTTTTATATTGGAGCTCTCCAATATTGTTCGAGGAGAAGAAAATGAAAGCCAGTAATTTATTATCCTTACAATGTAAAACTGCCGGAGGATATACTCCTTTTTCATCTTTGGGATATCTATATCATTGATTTCCACATCCCAGAAAGAAATTAAAAGCAAAAATAAAAGATCGGAGCTCTCCCCAAGAAGAAATTGTTCCACATTGAAGAAAAACCCGTCAAAATTACAAAGCAATAAAGGCGAATACACCAACGAATGAATCAGTAACCACGAACAGTTGATGCATTGTTACTTTGTTACTAGAGATAACCATTCGATTCTAATCTCAATGCATAATTCGAAGACAGACGGTTAAATTTCAAGAACCACTAAAAAGAAAGAAGTCGCCAAGCAAAATAAGAATAAAGAATCAATACAGCGCTAGATTATTCTCGAATGGGGAACAAAACAGAGACATGTGAAGAGGTACAGATCCAAAATCTTCACGGCAATTTTGCATATCCATTTTCATCACTAAAATTAGACAAATTTAGCACATCAAGGTTATGTGGAAAAATTAATAGATACCTCCAACTTTGTTCACATCCACATTCCCAAGAAGCTGTTCCTTCCACTTCCTCAGGCTTTCATCATCCTAAATCAAAACAAAAATAGAAACTCAGAAATTGAAAAACAGGCTTTAATGAATCATTTGAAGCGTTACGAACCTTATCCTTCTCGATTTGTTCTTTGAGGCTGCATTGAGGCCCAACCTCAATCTGATGACTGTCATCGTCTTCTTCTTCCTCCTCAGTCGTGCATAAAGAGCTCTCACTCGCACTTACCTTGTCATTATCGGCCTCACTCTCGCCTCCCTTTTGTTGAACCCCGCTCTTCTCTCCCCCGTCGTTGGTCTCATCCAACCCCATTTTCGTGGAACTAGAAACGGCTTCAGCCGTCAAAGGCATCAAATCATCAAACAATAACACCCCGAAAACCTCCAAAATCCCAAAATCCCTAAGACCCAACACTCCAGATCTTCGAGAGAAGAGAAACCCACAAGGAAAAGTCAATCGTAGAACTGAGATTTTTCTGCGTGAAAAGACTGGAGAATGTGAAGGAAATCCTAGACAGACGATGATTGTTTTTGTGCTGTGGACAAGAAAATCCAACGAACCAAGACCCAGAACATAGTAGGCCCACGAGAAAGAGCGACAAAAAGGGCAGCGGGTTTGCTTTCTATGGCTTTTTCTGTCAAGGGGTCGTTGAATATCTTATCTCTCTATCAACACCCAGGTGGATGAGAGAGATAGGGTAGTTTGGGGGATGAGAGAGATAGGGTAGTTTGGGGAAGTAAAGAGGGGAAAAGGTCCTGTGGTGATCCGTATTGAAAGAGAGAGAGTGAAGGCCACTAATGGCAATTTGATTGAAAGCAATCCGTTAAACCCAAACGAAAAAAGGAAAAGAAAAATGCAGAAGAACAAATCAGAACACAAAGAAGGGAGGGATTATGACATTATTATACCTTAATCCTACTTGCCTAGTTAATTAAGATTTCATTTAAGTATCATGGAGTTAATAGAATGTTATAGCACTTTAGTTTGTGAAAATAACCACATCATATAATTTATTTATTTATTAAATTTAAAATTTATTAAAAATTTAAAATAAATAAATAAATATAACCCAAAATTTATCTATTTTTGACATGAAATTGACCCAAAATGAGGATATTAATTTCATTTTTATTTTTTCACCAATATATTTAGTAGTTTTCTAATTAGAGATAGATCATCAAAACAACCAATATGAACACCCCTCCATATCATGCTAGGGCCAAATGCATTCCATCTTCCTTTCCATGTTCAAACTGGTTGTGTAATTACTAATTGATAGGTAAGAACATATGATTTATATAGGCCATTTTGGTAATATTAGTCTTTCTTGTGTGCATTTTCAAAATTCTCAATTAATCAGGGTCTTAAATTTTTAGATTTTTCTTGAATTAATTTGGTTTATGCGAAAGTTTATATAATAATACATCTTCACAATGCCCAATTCCATGCTTTAGGTGTAATGTGTTAAATCTATAATTTTAAATAGTTAAATGTGGAAGTGAAAAAGAGATAATTAATAAATCATTATTTTTGTGGGGAGGAGGAATAGATATGCGTAAAGTCTCACATATTATGAGGTCTAAGTTAACATAAATCCAACTTAAAACATAGCATCATGACCTAGTAATACATGTTTAATCTAAAAAACAAATAATTAAAATCACACTTCTAACTCAAAAACAATAATTAAAATGGCATGATATAATTATAGTCACGTGGGAATTGGCATTTTCATTTCATAAATTCATCAATAGGTCACAAAATGATGATCCAATTTAAAAATTTATAAATCCAATATTTCATACATTAAAAGAACCAAAAACAAAAATATTTATGCTTCCAAAAATCATGCCGAAAGAGAGAAGAAAAAACCGAAAATACGAAATCACTACATTTAATTATCAATTTCTGAAAATTATAAAAGTGGTGACGTTATATATTAGGAATTATGATATTTTTTATTACAAAATAAGATCACAAAAATTGTCAACAATGATATAATCCAATTATATGATATTTTCATCAATTTATAAACTCATTTTTATTGAATTATATAAATCAATATTTAATAAGTGTACAATACAGTTTTTACTAATTTGTTTTTATAATATTTTTGTTAAATTATATTCAGTATTATTAAAAAATTGTTATAATTCCATATGTAATTAGCATTTAAGATTAGTCTTTTTTTTAACCATAAACTTTAGTCCCTCGTTGTATTATACGAGATCAAGTTGTTCCTTTGTTTCGTGTGATTTTAGGATTCCCTTTTCACAAGTAATTCTGATCTTTTTAAGTCAAATTTTAATAAAATCTTTGTCAAAATTTAAAAAATATATAAATTACTTGTATTTTAACAAAAATTACAAATTTATATTTATTTTAAAATAAAAAATATCCTAAATTCAGTTACTTTACACAAAATTAATCATTTAATTGCTTATGGACTAGAAGGCTATGCAAGTTTAACTTACATTATTAGCAAAACTAATTGACTTTAACAACAAACTAAATTACAACCACAACGCTGGTTAACATAATAAGGTTATTCTTAAATAGAATTTGAAGTATTTTCAATTTCTTTATTAGATAAATTTATCTTTATACCCGTGTCATAAATATTTTAGCCGTTTTAAGTATATGATTATTCTATTTAGAATGCATGACTATTTACTATTGTTCTCTCTGTCTCTATATATATATATATATATATATTACAAAATTAAATTTAATCTTCTTTTATAAGTACCTAAATGTTTTATTATATATGTGGATATATCTATTGGGTAAATTGTCATGATTATTAATAACTTATATACTTTTTAAATATTTAAAACTATTAAATTTAAGTAATAGATTGATGATGCACGCAATCCAAATATTCCTCATTATTATGTTCCTAATCATGTCGACTTTGACAGAAGAAGAATCCAATCGGTCAGCCAGAACCTAATTAATTAACGGTTCAGGTGTGAGATTGATTGATGTTATCCCATTTCTTCTGTCGGTCCCCTAATCACAGTTTCTTTTTATTTTTCTAACCAACCGTTCAGATTGATTGCTACTACGGAAGGGAAGAATTTGTGAAATGTTGATGCTAGAAGAAATTAATTAATTAATTTAATATTTGAGGGTTTATCAATTTATAGAGACACCTTAACTCCGTACCCAACACAGTCAAATGTTGCAAATTAAATTAATGATGGCGTGGATTTTTTTAAATATCTAAAATTTAATTTTAGTTCTAAAAATCTCGAATTCGAATCCTTGTGGTTTGGCTTTTGGTTATGGTGAGGCCAACTTTTTTAAAAAGTTTTTTTATGTAGCTTTTTTGGTAAATTAGATATAATTAATTTCTTTATTTTTGACTTTATCTCAAAAAGTGAAACCTAAAATGTTGAAAATTAATTATAACTTTTGCAAAGTATGTTTGGTTCACATGAACAAATCCTAAGGTTGTTAAACAATTTTCTTTCGTTCTTTTTTTTGTTTTTTTTTTTATTTTATTTTTAGTCTTCTAATATTGTACTAAAGGACCTCCCATGGGCTTTAAGTGATGTTTGTAATAACTTATAAAAAATGATTTTAAGTTTTTCAATACATACAATTAGTTTTAAGTATTTGAAAGTATGCTTCTAATTTCTACTTCTCTTCATTTAAAGAAAAAAGTAGAATTAAAATCAGGTTTTGAAATTATAGAGAAATGGTACTTTTAATTTTAATAGACATTATTGTAATTGAGTACAAGTTATTTTGAATATTTTTTTTAGATTTTTTCTTATATCTAAAATTAGGGTGAGGACCTTATTGCAAGAATTAAAAGTTTTGGGGACCGAAATGAAAATATCTCAGGGACCATTCTGTGAGTGACACAAGGTCCAGGGACCAAAGCTACAATTTCCAGAAGTCTGGCATGAACAGTGCCCGAATGATGATTTCTCACCAAATCGGACACTTTGTGTGATGATTTTGGCCAGCTTTTAGCAGGCTTTTATGCGCTTTTGAGAGCTCAGTCGAACCCCTCAAGCAATTGCAGATTTCAAGCAAAGGCTGAGGAGTTTTTTGAGTGTTCTGTGGGTCGTCTAGTTCGCAGGAGGTCGAGGGGAGAAATCCGAGTTTTGGAGGTTGTTGAGCTGCTTTTGCTTCGATTAACCACTGCCATGAAGGTCACCGGGGTTGGTGCTGTGGACTGGACTGCTCGATCGGGCAAGGTAAGCTTGTTTTTCGGTTGATTTTTTTCGAATTTTTGTTTTTGGGTCACGTTACAGACCGTGTGCAGGTTCCAGTTTGGGAACCGGGACGGAACCTGGATGGAACCGAGTCTGTGCGGGTTAGGCCGAGCCTGTTCAGGCCTGGATCCAGCCAAGCTGGGCCGTGGCCTGCGGGCTGGCCTACCGAGTTGGTTTGGGCTGAGTCAACTCGCGGGTTGACTCAGCCCACTGAGTAATCAACTGGATTGACCCGTGAGTCAACCCAGTGGTCAAATGGGGATATGTTATTTCGGGGATAGTGGAAACCAAGGATAGGGGCTGTCTGGGATAGCTGGGGATTAGATATTCCAGAATTATTTAATTTCATTTTTGGATTAGGGTTTTAAAGGGTGAACTGGCCAAGGTTGACCGAGGTTTGACCGGCTGATTCAGTGTTCAAATGGGCTTGGTTTTGGGAAGTTGGACCGGTTCTGGATTCAGGGGGGATGAGAGCTATCAAACCAAGTGAGTTCGAAAAATTTTGGGTGGCTGGTTCAAGGTGAACTGGTCGGTTTAGTGTGTTGTCCTTCGAGTGACTAGTTCACCAGTTTTTAGACCGATTCTTGTGGAGGTTGAACCGGTTCCTGATTTAACATGATGAAACCTAGCTAGCCATGTGGTTTGGTGATTTTTGGGTGTCCGGTTCAAGGTGAACCGGGCTCGGTTTGTGTACCGATGCTTAGGATTAGGGTTTTTGGCTGGTTCAAGACTGGTTCAAGGCCTTCTTGGCAGGGTTAGACCAGTTCCAAGAGTTTTTGGGCCTTCTGAATCCAATTTTGGGGGTTTTGTGGCTGATCTAGTTGAACTTGAGGTAGTTTTAGACTGGTTTAGGTCAGTTCGAGGATTTTGGAGGCCAGTTCACTATGGTTTGAGGATTTTGGAGACTGGTTTCTTTATTGTTGAGGGTTGTTGAGCCGAAGTGATGAGAGTTGTGCGTCGCCTGGGTCTTGGTGACGGGTAGTGGTGCCTTGGGATGAGTCCCATGGCGTCAGGATGGGAGTTGAGCCGATTTTGGGCTGTCGAGCTAGTTTCTTGTGCTGGTCTTGGTGATGGTAACGGTTTGTGTGGTCTTGGTTATAAATAATAAAAATTAAACTTTTAAAAAACTAAATATTTCACGGTTTTGGTTCATGATTCATTCACGGTTCACTTACAATTCTGGTTCACAGTTCACAGTTTACGGTTCATTCCCAATTTTGGTTCATCGGTTCCTTTACAGTTCCGATCCAGTTCTGGTTTAGATTCAAAAAAAACTTGAACCTTAACTAAATCGTGAACCTTCACAATTCAAAACCAGACTAGACCGGATATTGTCGGTTTGGTCCTGTCTTTTCCCAGTCCAGGTCAGGCCGGTTCACGGTTTGAACAGGGCTACTTGAGAGAGAAAGGGAAAGCCTAATTACAATCTGTACCATATTTCTCTACAAGAACCTCAACCCAAGAGACTGGGCTGTTTCTTTATTTTTCTAATTATGGTTCATGATATATGCCTCGTTCATGCTCGGATACATTTCAAACCAAGACCACCTTAATTCTTAGGCTTACACAGTATCCTCCAAGCCACAAAATAAGACTTCCTGATATTTTCCTCGTGCCCCCATATAAAAGTTCTCTACGTCTTCTTTATCATAGAGCAGATCAGGATACAACCAAGCACAGAATTGACTAGAGCAGTCCTACTAGTCAAAGAGAAATGATTAACTTTCTAACCTGCAAGTCTTTTCTTGACTTTATTCACCAAGTATCTGAAAG